TTGAGTGACGCTTTGAAGTGCAGACAGAACAGCTTTACCTAGTACTGAGGCTAAGCTCTTCAAAGATAGGTAAGAGAGTAGAGACGATGTTGAGGCGCTATCGCAAGATATGGTAGCATTGTGGTGGCGGAGCTGAACATCTCCTTTCTGTCAAAAATGGGATTATGCCTTAGTTATTGAAGAACGGGCTTCAGACTGCGTGTTTTTTATTTTTTTACTCAATTTTTTTATTCCCCATTGCTCTTACCTCCTCCTGGGCTCAGTTAGGGAAGCCCCGTATCCTGGCGATACCACCAGAAGGGAACAAATATTACAAGGTCAGCAAAAAAGCCTGCGGGTGGGGTAGGAATGAAACCGTTGGAAATGGGTCAGAATATGCACTTAATACGCGTTCTAAACTTGATCCAGGTACTGTTCGCAAGTATGTAACCACGACTTGATCACAATGCACACATTTAGACAAAATGCCCCCGTATCTATGTATTACTCAAGCTTCCCTACTTCAACCTCATGTACTTGTAAATTCAGCTAATAGTCATGTCAGTGCAATAATCGTTTCCTTTCCCGTCAAGCCAAGAAGCCGGTTTTTAAGCCACCTTTACACTCTATGACTTTTCTGCGTGCATGACAGCTCAACAACTGGAAATTTCCGAATTTTAATCCTGCAAATCCTGACGCAGCAACAATAGCTCTGGTTTATGCGTTTGCATGAAACAATCTGCCTCCAGAGTTCAGACAAGCCGTTCAACATCATCCTTGAATTGCATAGCTTCCAGAATCCAAAGAATCGGTTACTGAACAGTTGGCACAACCAGCTAATCACTCTAAAGTTCCCAGCTTGAAGCTAACATCAACTTCATACGGCAATTATCTCATTCAAAAGCAGTGATCACGATGGTTGGGGGGGGGGGTGCGGTAGAGTGAACATCACTGGTGGATCCCCTTAGCGCTATGGAGTGAGGATGTCACGGCAACTTGACAACTGGCAATGATATCCAATGACGTCATCAGAGCACCAAGGTCCTCCTGCCATCGTCGTGATCCTTGCCTTTAACCCTTTGACGACTATGCGGATTTGAACGTAGTTTGCTCGTGCGACCACGCCTGTTTTTGGCGCGCCCAACTCTCGCTCACAGTTGGGCAAAATTGGTCCTTGAAGCAACTTTTCTGTAGAATTTTCGACTTACAGTATTCCAGTTATAACTGCAGTCCTAGGCTTTCATACTGTGAATTATTTTTGAGAGAATTCCAAATTTGGACAGGGAACTCGCGTTTCTATGAGAAGGAGGGCAAACCTCTAAAAATTTAAGTGTCCAAGAGAATTTCCGGTACACTTCAAACTCCTTCCTGTATCTGAGGGCTATGAGAAGACGAAGAAGTCCTGATTTGTGATTAATCATCGGCCTTATGATTTAAAACCCCAATTAATATGGTGGCGAGCTACTATATGAATTAGCTCTTAGTGAACATTTCTGTAAGTCGTGCTAGCCATAGATGTTATGGAACTTGCTTATAATTACTGGGGTGTTACAAGTGTTTTAACTACACAAAGAAGAAAATTTTAAGCTGGCACCCACCATTTGGTGCCATTGTCGTCAAAGGGTTAGTGGAATAAATGGTCTGAAACGGACTTAGGAACTGATTCTTAGAGAATTCCGGTAGCGGCACCTCCACAGTACAAGGTGAGCCAAAACTCTGGTAACGCAGGTGTTTGCAGCCAAATCCACTTTTTCCGTATTGCTCCAGTTTCCTCTGCTCTTCGGAGCATTCTGAAACTCTGCTGAGCTACTCTACAATGCCCCCCTCCTAGAGAAGCCGAAATAACTGTTTCCAAGTTAATGACATTACCACGGTATACCGATCGTTAGGTAGCATCAATGTGGGGTTGCAGTACGCTGTGTTTAGTGGTACTTCAGTCTGACAAAGATGCGCGTACGCACGACTCCACTCTCCACAACTTCTAACAATCTCAGACGGAAAAGGAAAAGGTTCGAGGGCTATTTTGACCACAGAGAAAGACCAAATGCGAATTTCTTTCCCATTTAAGGGTTTCATGCTCTGAGGTGGAAAATTCAAGCCTACCTGGACACACCAATGACCCAACGCCCGTCACGTACATGAAGCTCTTTGTTTGGTTTACTCTGGACGTTTCATCAAGATAGAGCTTTTACAAAATAAAGAGAAAGCCTGCAAAGAAGGATTCCTGGCGTTCATGGTTTTCGAGGACTTACTTTTAGTTACCCTCTCCAGGGACAATTTGAATCCCAGATGGGGTCCAACGACTCTTCTCATCTACAGGTCCTACTCCCACCCTACGTGGCATATCCGAATAACCCCTCGAATGCCCGTTAAGCTGGTGGAGAAAAAATTACCTAGTAAAATCGAAACAGTTGCCAATTTTCAGAAAAATAAAACTTCATAGAATTTTTGCGACAAACCTAAGAAATCTTGCAGAAAAAGCCGCCTGAACACTGATTGTGAGCTCTGTTTTCTGCTTCCGAAGAGGAGCCGAAGATACACCCCATATCCCCTCCCCCTCTTCTCAAGAAGGTCGAAGACTCCCCACGAAGCCTCAACGTTGGGGCACCTTTCCCTCCCTTTGGATACTTCTGAATATTGTAGGCTTCGGCCTTAATCTATTATGTTATAGCTCTGACCTAGGAGGCTAATGATGGGTACTCCAACTCTTCGTTATTCATAAGAGGCTTACGCCGTTGAAACTGGGGATTGGTAGGAACCCGATGGAAGTATCATTCTGAAATAATCATTTCATCGTGGCGATGCAGATAAAGGCACAGGTGTTCGAATCTGCTCTACACAGACATGCAACATCTGTATCGAGACTGTTGAAAAGTTTCCCTTTTGGTTTTTGCCATATTTACTGGATATCCACCGACCACTTTTGACATTCGATATCAATGGCGGTTGAAAATGTCTTGTCAAAGGCGAAATTCAGGGACTGGCAAAAACTGTCGAGAGAAAACCCATTTGAATAGATTCCTTTCTTTTCCTTTTTTGATTTTAAAACCAAAGCTCGCATCATAACCTATACAGGGTGGGCCACATCACAGTAACCGCGAGTGCCCTCGGTCAAACCAACCTTTTTGAATCTGTCCTTTCATTTTTACTTCCGTGTAATGTGATGAGGTACACTGCACTCTATGTAGTGAAATTAAGTATGATGCAGTTTTTAAAATTAACGAAGCTATCACATCACAGTATGCCAATCTCACTTTGAAGGAATTCTTCACAGAAAATTCTTGCATTCTTCCCTTACATGAATGTATCAGTTGTGATCACCAGAGACAACATGCAAAGTTCCACGCATGAGGTTTCGGTTTCCGAGGAGTACCATTACCAAAAACTACACTCTATGGACAATCGAAGGTAAAAGGAGCGGAGCCAAAGGCGGTGCACGGAAAGAAGTCGCCCTGGGGCTGCAATGAAAGAATCGGGTTAAAACGAGCGATTCGGGAGGGTAGAAACAAATCGATCGAATATGGCAGTGTGAGATGTGAATAATGCAATAAGTCCAAGCCAGAAAGAGTACTCCAAAAACCAAGCGGAAGCATTCCCGTCGCCAGTATTTGTGACAGATGTGCGGCGCTACTTTGAACGCGTAGCAGTCCTTCCAGTTTTTTCGAATTTTTTACTAAAACGAAAAGCAGTTTTTTCTGTTCTTTTCGTTCTTATCGTGGATGATGGGCCTCAAGCCGGTAAATTATGGCTGAAATAAAATCATGATTTTTCTGTGAAAGATTCCCTTAACCGACAAGCGGTTCTGGCACGCTATGACTAACTAAAGTTGAAAGTGTCAGAAAAGCAAGCCCGTGCGGGCAGTTTTTGAGCGGTTCAATATGTTGGGAATCACCTCCCATGTAAATGCGGAGAATTAAAAGATACAGCCGTCATCAGGACAAATCTGAAATGCATAAGCTCGTCCTCCTGAGAATGACTTTGGCCTAGCCTCCTCATTGCTTTACTCAAACTCGTACACCCTTGGCCTCCCTATCAGTATTTTTATTTATTTTTAGAGAAACGTTGCTATTAAACTGTTTATTACGGTGGAATACTCGTGATTATAACAAATACACACTCTGTACATGAGATTCTATTATTTACCTCATAAAATGTAGTGTAATTGAAAGGCTCCAGCTAGTTTTAATGGACACATTCATAAAATGTTACCAAGCGATGTGTGTAATAAGATACAAAGTGAGTTGAGATTTAGATATCCCATACACGTCTGATAAGTCCAAATTCCAGGTGACGAATGAGGATAAACGAGAATGAGCTGTCAATCACAAACATTCCCTTTGTTTCCGGCGACCATGGAAGTCTGCACTGCAGAATTCACAAAACACGTGACGACGGCTTCCAAGGGAATCCGATAACTAGTAGTTCATTGTGATGGGGGATAGTTGTTAAACTGTGGTTTTAATCAGTGATTATTGATAGTATACAACAGCAAAAGTCTAGTCATTTCGTAGGAAAACTGTTACGTTTTGCGGAGAATGCCGCCATATGTGTTGTGAGGTCTGCAATAGACATGCACATGGCCGCCGGATTCAAGAGATATATAGGGCTACTTGCATGCTATTGATTACAGTATTAAAGACACTTTTTGTGAAGTAAGTGGGCTCTGACCGAAGCCAGTTCTCATGGCATTAAAACATCAGATGAGTTTTACTTTTTCCGGCGGAAATCTTGATTTGTCCGCTTTTCTGCACACCAAGCTTCCGCCGCACAATGTACCTGAAGCATGCATGAGAAATGAGTTGTGACACTGAATAAGAACGGAGACAATTCAATCTTTTTGGAATGCGCCATGCACCCTACTTCTATTGATACTGCGTGGGCGAATATGGTATCACAAGAATGAAAAGGCTTCAAAGGTAAAATGACTCACCACTCGATTACTAATGCCAGAACCACTAATGTGAAGCAGATGAGAAATGCATGACGTGCCCATCTAAATTTCCTCTCCTTGAAAACATATTTCAAAGCGGTGCTGGGTTATAGCAGACTCGCCTTGGGACTGAATGATCCCGTGGTTCACCTTTCAATTCATGCAGCTCTCTCAAGGCGTGGCCGATGTCGTCGACCAGGTCCTCAACAGCTTTCTGAAGTGGCCACCCTGAAATAGGGCCACTAGATATAATAGTATGTTCAAGTGATGGCACTGAGCCTAAACCCTTCAAACCTTAGGCAGTGTTGTCAAAGGATCAATGAACGTAATGGTCCGGTGCGGTCAATAATGAAGGCAACAGCAATTCAAATTTCAAGTTTATTGGTAGCAGCCTACACTTTTTTCACTTCCAGCCTTTTTTGAATGTCCGCTTCTCACCATTAGTGAAGAGGAAGCTATTTAGCCGAAATCATTGTTCGCACAGAACAAACGGCACCGATTGGGCTTATCTGCCTTTAACGAGCATGGCAGTCCTGTCTTTTAGTCAATGACGTTTTGCGTCGAAGCGTTTTCTCCATTAGGACGACTCCGAAGAGCGCGGTACGAAAGAAGGTGAATTGACGTGAGGAATGCCGGATTTGCGCTATTGTTGAATTCTGAGTGAATTCCGTCAATGCCCTCGCATCCTAGCAACCAAATTTCTTCAAGTTATGACCTAACCACACTTGAAGAAGACGTCGTTAGACACAGAAACTCCAGAACACCACTTGCTAATAAGCGAGACATATGAGACCTTCCTTGAAGTCTCGCATAACTCACTGATAAGCCAAATCCTTAATTCAAGCTCATATGAACTGAGCTCTAGAGGAGTACATAATACACAAGGATGATGAGTTAGAGACCACTTCGCCCCATAAAATCGCATCCGCCCTTTTCCAGCACTTGACTTACCTGGCTAGTACTCAAAGGAAAGGCCTAGGAGGGAAATACTCATCTGGTGGAAAGACCGGGCACTAAGAGTGCGGATCGACAAGCAATCCGCTGAGAGACATGCGTTCGATGAACTAGGATATCCATGCCCTCCCCGCGGCGCTATTGGCGCGGTACGCCCGGCGACTGGCTGACCACATGCTCTTGCGACCACAGGTCTGTAGCTGTCAACAGAGAAAAGGTTAATGTCGAAGAGGGCACCAGAGTCGCATCAGTGCGTTCCATCTCTCGGGCGAGAAATATGGAGCGGTACGCAAGCTCAGAACATGTCCCCTCTTGGTGCCATAACGTAACAAAGCTGAGGGGGTAAGGTCTAAGGATTCACCAGCTCCGCCCATCACTATACACCCGACCAATGCTAATTAGCCTCGATGTTCTTGGAGAGAAACTATTTACGTCCTTATGGATGGTTTCTTAGCGTTGTCGTTACATTTTGACTTGTTTTGTTTGTTAAACTGGTTAGTGGCTAAAAGCTATGGTACGTAAACCTTGAAAGCTGAGTGGGATGAAATGGTGCCCGGGTAGCGTAACTGGTAGCGCACTTGCCCGGAAAGCGAGAGGCGCGGAGGCGCGTTTAGGTCCCGCCTGAGGCGAAAGTTTTGTTCACAACCCAGCATTCTTGTGAAACTGTCGTTACACTTCACATACACAGTCTCGCAAGCGCAATAATTAATACATTACTTTCAAGTTCAAGGCGGAACCTATGTCCAACGTTGCTTGTCGTAGGGACCGCTCCCTCGGCTGAGTTGGCTCAGTGGAGGTTTCCGGTTTCATCGAGTCCATTTTCCCAAGACACATTTCCACGGCGTATTTGAATATCAAAGTGCGAATGACATTCGGAAATCACAAGGGCAAAAGCCGTATTGGTCTTGTCGGGAAAGTACAAAGTTACTGAATTACATGGATGTAAAATGTGTAAACGCCAAAATGAAGTGCTTTCCATGTAGGAAAAAATGCGAAAAAATGAAGGAAATGATGCTCTCTTTTGAAATAGTGTTCTGTTTGCCTTTTCGAAGGTTGAGTAGGTCTAGTACAGGAAATCTTTTTTCTACGATTTTTATGTGCCAGAAGGGTAGAGGCAAAAATCAAAAGTAAGATTAATTTCCCTCAGCGATAGTAAAGGCTTTGAAAAAGAAAAAAGAAGCAGAAGCAACTTGGGTGCTGTGCCTGCATTAAGGAAATACAGAGAACCCAATTCAGGTGGAGTCATATTCCTAATGTAAGTTGGTGTGTAGCTAGCGGATGCTCTTTAAGTCATACATATCCACTGTTCCCGCCAGTGGAGGGGGTAAAAAAAATGCGTACTTCAAGAAGAAATTGTCTTTACAAATTTCTGGTGCTCCTATGTATAGTATAACGGTGAGCTAAATTATGGTAACAAGAAAGGCGACCGTGGACCACCTAGAAAGACTTTGATCAACTATAATACATTTGTGGGAGTTGCCCAACAGAATACAACATTTGGAGGGACGGGAAGATGTGCGGTTCAAAGCAAAGAGCAGGCCCCCAGCCGCCAAGAAGGGCTATACTTGCGACGCGCCTCCATACGCCCGCCAATAAGTAATCCCTCTGACGCTGATCGTTTAGCAGAGCGTTAACGTTGAAGATGGCAGCATGATGAAAGTCCATCACTGCGAAGATCAACGGGCGAAGAACGAGTCGCATCTTTCAGGTTCTGGTCCGTTCCTCATGGTTATTCGCCCTTCCCCCATACCACTGATCACCTCCACCATGACTTCTAATGAGCTACCTTTACATCGTAAACTCGGCCTTTACTCGATAGTTAAATAGTGCTTAGAGCAGAAGCTAGTGTCCAACATGCCCTACGCAGCTGCAGCTCTACTGTAGTGTGGATTCTGAGTGCGTGGCGCGTCACAAAAAGAGTCCCATCAAAGCCGAAGTTTTGTCACGATAGTTTGGTCGGCACCGTTCCCACACCGAAGTCTCCAAGGGTAGTGTTCGTGAATTGCTGCTTCCATCCCAAGCAATGCGAACGTGACGGTTGGACCTGCAGGGCTCCTAGGACCCTCGGGACCAAATCGCGCAATTATGAAAGCGATTTTTGCGATGAGATGGCAACGATACATCATCTCATGGCTTTGATTTCCAACAAAAACAAAAACACTAAGCCCACCTCTCAAAAATACGGAAGGTCATTTTTGTCGAAAAGCTTCAAAACTATAAAAGGTAAGCAAGCCTTGTGGAAGCTAGTCAGAAAGATAAAATGTGGTCGCTGCTTTCACATGTCCTGGTGCCTGTGATATGCGCTGACTATTAGTCATTTCTGGATATGCGGTAGATGGTCTTGCTCTGTTGATTACAGTCTAGCCAAGGTTCTAGAGTTTCTGTTCAGCTATATAGGGTCCTAAATCAACAAAGGTGTTCATAAGATCACATTCTCCATTGTTAAAAGGTACGCCAAAGGCAGGAGTGCGTTTAGACCCTCGAGTTATTCATCTTAAGTGAGGTAGGAGGACCCCTCATCACACAGATGATGGGAATGCTACGATATGAAAGTGCGCTGCAATTGAGTAAGAATTTTCGCTTGGCGGCTGCGACCGCTGCCATGCTTATCAACAACAGCTACGTGGCGTCTGCGCCCTCTAACGTACAACGTGCTCTCTTGCGATTTCCCTCTCGCCGAGTTGCGTCTCTTTGCCAATGAGGGCCTAGCAAGGAAAGTTTTGGCTTATATTGCCTTTTGCTTTTTTTCCACTAACCCTTCTCATCGTACTTCTTGTTTGATTTTCGAATAAATTAACACAATAATTCGACCCGATCGTGCCTTTAATTGCATTCATTCATCGTCACCTTTTCTATATCAAGTATAAAGTTCAATTGAGAGTAACTGCTAGAATACTGCAAAAGCCAGGTTTTCTGAGTGACTTCAGACTTACCACCAAATTCTGATATTAATAAAATGAAATTAGACGAAACTAAAGTTACCTTGTATTAGGGCGTTATTCGCTTCATTGGCTATATTGCTGAGGGCAAAACGTAAACGTGGTTCACCTGAAGGAATGAGCATTGAAAATGGCGAGTACATATGACGAAGTTCATGTTGGGGTACCAGTGTGTAGTCGAACGTAAGGAATTTTTCTGGCGTCATTAATGAGTCCATCGAGAACCATTAATGCGAGAACGTTCGGTTGTGTACATGTGTCATCCAGTGCAAACCAGCGTTCATAGACTTTCCATGCGTACACCTAAAATCGTGTGGTGTAGCTAGCACAGCCTTCTTGCCTTCGGAATTATTTATATTAGAGCACGTCTCTGAAATTGCCTTCAAAATTTTGGGCGCCGAATGTAACGCAATTGCCGAAATAATGAAGAAAATATAAAAAATAATTATTTCATCGTTGAAAGTGCCAATATCAAGACAATGGTCAATCTTTTTCGAAGATGTGCCACGTATTCGACTTCCAAATTTTTTTCAAAAAAGATTCGAAAACCTCTGAATTGTGCCAGCTTGAGAATACTTTTGCGGACTGCAAAGGTCAATATTTTGATTCACTCTGACGGCTGTTGTCAGGTAATCGACAGGTATACCCACTTTCAAGAAACAAAAAGAGCGACGAGTGCACAAACGACGGTGGCCTCCTCAAAATGTAAATGTTTTCAGCCAATGAAATGAGTGGCCCATTGCAGTTGCATTCTATCAGTTGTCACTAATTACAACTATCATTTACCAAAGATAAGCTACCACTATGAACCACTAGTAACCAGATTTATTGGAAGCCGTCACTTGTGGTGTGTGGTCTGAAGCCGACACTCTTCTCTTTCTTTGAAAGGAGATAATCCACTCAAAATGGGCTTGACCCAGATAGGGTCAGATTAGGAACGAGCAAATATGTGCATGCTGTTTATCACTTAAGCCATTTGAATTCTCGAATTTCTCCGGATTCTCCCGTTTAGTTCGGGATAGACTAATGTCAGTTAGAAATGGTCACTCAACCTTATGACTACCAGTGAGATGTTATAAATGTACCACCCAATTTGACGAGTTTTTCAAGGCACGGGTTAGGGTCGTGTGCACGGATCAGGATCGATTTGGTATACCACTGTGTTCGAAAATTAGACAAGAAGTGCTATGACTAACGCTTTGAAGAAAGCAAAAAGCATCATAGAAAAGTCCGAATTTTCTCTTGTGAGCTGGCAGTGGTATGACGGAGAGACACAGCGATGCGAGGAGAGGGGAAACGCGAGAGGGCGCAGACACTACATACGTGGCAGCGTCCGCAGCGACGAGTTTGCTCACCCGTCGCGCACCTTTAAATCGCGACAGTCACTACTGTCATTAGAGGTCCTGCTACCCCACTCAAGAGCAGAAAATCTTCAGACGGCCGTTCGTGACCCGTCCTTTAGCACTGCGATCCTATTTGATTGCCAAGTTGACAGACGAAGAAAAAAAACCAATATCCGCAACTCCAGCAATATTAGTAACGCAGTTACAGATGTACCCTGAGTAATTATAGAAACAACTCCTTTGGCACCATTGGTCAATGAATTTGATTTCAGGGTACCACATAGAAGTTTTCATTGTTGGCCCTTGTATTGACGGATTCAATATCCGATCAAACTATTAATATATCAGATCTAACGCAATAATGATAGAAGGAGGCGTTCAATCAGCTGAAGCCAGAGTACGACGCAGAGTACCAGAACAATGTTGGACTCAAGAAATCTGCCTTTCGGATGTGAGACGAGGAAACCTGATGACAACACGCTTCTGAGGCTAGAGAAGCCGGCGAAAACTCATTGTCAGGCAAATAGTTGGAGATGAGTCTGAGGCGATTATGCATACTGCGACTTTGATACTGCCAAATTTTCTGGTTTGATTCTGCTTTTGAATTTTTGACCAAAATCAATCTGACACTTTCAGGAATAAAACGAAGAGACTGAGAAATTCCTCTAGTTGTCGGTCTTCCTATCTATTAGCAATACTTTTGAAAATTGCTCCTTTAGGGCCATATTCATTGGCAAGGAGCCTAAACTAGGACATGTTTTAAATACTGTCATATCGGAAGATCGGCTTGACCTGTGTCAAATTATTGTTAGAACTGTAATAGTGGCAGTTGTACTTATGCACACTCGCTCTTGAAACGGAGCCCCTATTTCAGAACGATAGCCACATTTGGTACAGACGCATGCCATTAACTCAAAAGGATAGCCGAATTATTTGGTAATTATATTTCTGATCGGGATGTTCAATTATTGACTTGGATTTTCACTACCAAAACAGTTTTTGGTCATGAATATATTCCACACTTCTTCACATTCTCACTGAAATCAGAACCCGCTAACCGGTCAGCAGCCTTTCATAACACATCTCTCTTGGGGGCACTCCCACATGTCAGCCTACGTGCATGAGACAAATAGCCACTGAAATGTCTCATTTCCAAGCTTCGATCGAACTGGTTGAGTTTTATTTGCACTTCGCCACTCGTGTTAGGTAAATGGACCTTTTGCCCAGGCCCAGATCTCAAGGTGGGAAAGTTCCATGGCTGATGGCAAGGTGCGAAAAATTAGATAGGACAGGGGAGAATGCGTGAAATGTAAGACACTTAACGGTGTTTACCAATACCAAAAGCACACTTCAAATGAGCCCTTTATTCAATAATCCGTGTTGATTGGTGCTAGAAAGGCCACAGCAGTGCTCTCTAGTACTAAGGATAAGATAAGTATGAGCGCCTCTTCCCGAAACTCCATTTTCACCTCTCGTACATCTTTCATGGTGAAAGTCTGACGATGTGAACTCTGTGCTTCCTCAATTGCCCCTATATAGGAAAACCTCCACTAAATTTTTGTTCTCCGAGCCAGAGAACTGAACAAATATTCCACTTGTCAGATTCAATGGCATAAAGTAATAAACTACATCAAAACTAGTCCCCGTTCGCAAAGCACTTCTTCCTTGTGCGCCCTCCATTTCAAATTCAGCTGAAAATTGGATTGAATACGAAGTGGGTCTGCAGCAGCGTTTGATGGCCCAGTGTACCCTGCAGGGATTTCAAGCAGAGCTGTGATTGACATCTTCTTAGCTCGAGAATTTCGTCTATGAATTCCTCAATGACGAACTCTTTTTCATGGGCAACTTTCGATTCTTAGTCTTGGCGTATGCTTTCCGGGACATTTGCCCCCGCGAGAATCACCGCAATGGGCCGCGAACAAACGGAAAGCCCCTATTATCGTTCAGTTGTCTCGCATCATACTGGCATTTGTCGGATTGAGTAAGGAAATAAAGGTTTAATACACGATTAAATGATGCAGCGTTAACATTCTGCGTGGTAATACACTAGCAAGTCGAGATCCTCCCAGCAAGTTAAACAAATCATTCAACAGTGGTAAGTTTACCAGTTCACCCAAGAATACCTTTGGACAGTGGTAAGTTCACCAGTCAAACCGAGGATACCTATGTGGATGCACTAAGTGAACATGTCAACTGCGCTCGCAAATCCATGAGAGCTCTATTCATTCAACAACGCTTTCAACCCTCTTCCCTTTGCGCGCCACGCCAGGCGAACCAATATTCGACGAATTCTAGTCGATGAAACAAGCCAGTCCTTAGCCTCAACGCGAACACTTGAACCATTAACTAGCAAACATTGGGAGATTACGTGAGCCCCAAGCAAAGCAAAAGCATGAAATCGATTAATTGAACAGGAAAAGGTTAGCACAGTTTTTTCTCAATTGATTTCTGAGTATCATTCGAGTGGAGCTTGGGAGGGAGGGGAGGGGGGGGGGGGAAGTTGGGAGCATTGCGCATTTGCGGCCGGTGACAAAAATGCCGCATTAAAGACGCCAAATTTTCTAGCAGCCAATCATGATAGATATATATGTATAATATATATATATAAGTATATATATATTGTAATATATCAGCCACCATTTCTCGAAATTTGCAAGGAAATTATGAAATACCCTTCGAATGAGGCGGCCAGATTGTGTGCTGTGCAGACCTCACCACACAAATGACGACAGCCTTCAGAATATCTGATAGTTTTCTGCCAACGTAATTATTACTCTGTTACAATTACAATTATCATTTATCATCTATCAGCAATCACTACGAACCGCTAGTGATCAGATTAGTGGGAGGCTGTCGTCACTTGCATCGCTGGCTGCAGTGCAAACTTACCTGGCCGGCGGATGGTCTCAGGATTTCTGTCAACCGTGATGCTAGACAGTTCACCGATTCGCAATGCTGTCTGGGGCCTCTCACATATGCATACTATTACAGCTCTGCTTTCTTCATTTACCCCGAAAGAACAGCTGGAAGGGAATGCTGATCACACTCTCATTCTCTGGTTAACGGAACTGTTGTAATCCCACCGGAAACAAAGGGCATGCACTGCGCCTAGAGGAGGAGCTCTGTCCAGGCCAAACCCCTGTAACTGTAGCTGAATAGCATCAAATAGCCCAACAAGCTTTCCTCAATAATTACTGATCCAATAAAATTCTTGAACAAACTCTAGAACTCCGATGTGTGAACGATTTTGTGTTGTTAAGATCAAGCTATAAGAATCTCCCTAGACGATAATCGTTTTCGCCTTTGTGCTTTTCTTCCTCATATTCTTTACTTCTGGAAAAAAGAATGCGGGTCACTGGCATTGTGAGAGAATTGCAATTAGGGCCGTCTTACTGGAAGCACTCAGGACGACGTTAACGACGCGTAATGCAGTACTGACACTCGTTCGAGATTGACAAAGGTATGTAAGCATTTTATGATTTCAAGAGCATTTTTCCTTACAGCTGTGACTTCCTCAATTGCTTTCGTCCACTCAAGGTTTAATTGAATTACACCACTACGAGGAAATGCACGACCACTGCCTAGAGCAAGTTCTAAGACAAGCATGAGCAACTTTCTTCCTCATTCCTTGACCGAAATTTTCTTGCTGAACCTGCTACGATCTCACTTTTGAAGAGATGGTGAAAAATATTAGCATGCGCTTCAGCTGGCCGCGCTAATTTTGAAGAGTATTTTTTCTCAGACCTTATAATATTTGGCTGTTGTTGACGATTTGTGCACTGTTTTGAAGCACAGGAATTGCGATCGTACAGCTAAATATCAGTGTAGTAGGTAAGAGTAAAATTGCGTACACTCATAAGAATGACAAAGGGGTTTTCCGGAAAGACCGGAAACAATCAAAGGCCGCACTAGAGCATGTAACGCATCCGACGATTGTCTTCCTTCAAAATACTCGACGGATTCTTCCTGGGATTTTTTGACTACTTCCTACTAAACTTCTTTGGGAAACAGCTTTGTATGGGAGGCGCTAAGTTTTGAGTCACTTGTGAGATGTCCTGCGATCTTTGTTTTCCCATTGATGGGCTTCACATGAAGCAGGAATCAAAAGCCAGGGTGCGTGGGATAATGGTCCGACAAACAAGAACGCTCAGACAGCTGTTCATAAATGGGTTAGCGAGCGACCGCTTGCGGTAGACCAGGAGAAAAATCTGAGCAATATCTCATTTCGAATCGACTAGGAAATGGGATGAGACAGAAAAAGAATGGGGCGACTGGACCCGTACATTGAATCCTTACGTAAACCAACGCACGTCGCGTGCTCAGGGTGCCTCATTTTCTTCCCTTTCCGAAGGAAAGGCTTCGTTCAGCCTATCGGGCTAGTTAGGATGCAAGCAATATTCATTCATTAGAACGCAGTAATTCTCCAGTCACTGTTCAACAACAAACAGGCATAAATACTAGAGCGGACTCGTAATTGCAAGCCGTCTGTGGTGTCAGTAGTCGTGCATTACAAAGTGGCACTGGCCTACATGAAGGTTTGGCGACAGAACGGGTCGAGACATTTAGGCACATATATGGATGAGCTTCCGTAAAGGAGGATTAACCCATTGAGGACTGTTGTTGTGCATCTACTGCGACAACTTTGTGCACATTTGGTCACCAGTGGTTGTCAAGATTTCAAGACTTCAATTAATGATAATGCCTTTATTTCAAATTTGTAGACGCAAACAGCTTTGAAACGCGGAAAATGACGCACTAATAAGCAAAACGAGTATCCTCCGCGTGAAGGTGTCCCTCGCCGAGGCACCACGCGGTTGTCAGTTAAAGGCAGGGGTCACGATCAAGTTCATATGGTAATCGTACTCAATGACATGCAAAGAAGAGGTGGACTACAAGTGAGAGGAAAAAGAAAGGAAATTGTGAGAAACACAGGAAAAACGACCTGCCTTGCTTTGTGCGGAGAAGCCCAAGACGCAGGCACGGATATGAGTGATAATGAGAAAGAGGCTAAAGTAAGTACGAGTAGAGAGGGCATAGCAGATCAACACTACGGCGTAGATAAGATGTCAAACTGCGGGCGGACCCTAATAGTTTTGGTGGGAGTTGGTCCTAATCCTCAGCGCCCACGTCCAACGGCAGCGGTCAACCGGAAGTTTCGGTGATTCAGCTTTTTGGTGGAGATCTCTGGGCACATGTGCACACTAGGGTGCTATCTTAGTTGGGAGGGGACCACGCGGCGGCGCGGCGCTCTGTTCGTCTGCTTCTAAAAAATCCTTAGTCCCGGAGACAGTTACTATTTCGCAATCACGTGACATTTTCAAAATACGCGCCATTGGGGAGTAAATCTTGCAAGAGGGACGAACAGAGCGCCGCGCCGCCGCGTGGTCCCCCCAACTAACGGTAGCACTCACACTAGCACAGCATCTCTGCACTCTTCCCTTCCTTCATAAGGCTTATTCATAGAAAAGTACAAAGTAGCGCTTTTCTGTTTGGAAACTCACGCGCTGGTTGACCACTAACCTTCCGTAACCCAGCGCCCAGCGTACGCGTTTCGATGGCGCGTCCTCTGTAGTGGCGGACCACACACTTCTATCCACGGCAGCGACTTATTCAGTAAGGATGAGCCCGGAAATTGCTTTCAAGGAAGTGAGGAAAGGAGCGAAAGTCAGAGATGAAGTGTTTGTGAGGAGGCTCTGTTCACATTTGAAGCCTATACGTGCTCATCTACGAACCATCTTGGAACACTTTGAAATACTAACAAATTACTAATTCAGGACTTACTTCAATGGGTATGTACGTTTTGTGATCCTTTGCACCATGGAACCACGAATCATTCATTTTAAATGAAAAGTCCGATATTGGACGAAAGAATGCGTGAAATCAAAGGACTATGGTGGTCAAAAAAGCCAGCCGTTTCATTAGCGGAAGCCCTTACGAGTCTTTTAAATACGTGCAATTTTGTTTAAATGATGGAATTTCGAGGAAAAAAGACTTCTGATTTTGGTTATTTGGTGGATGCCTCAACAAGTTAGAATCACATTTTAACAAACATATGAAATCATAGATCAACTAATATGGTCGCACAAACCTCACGTGCCTTGCCTTGATGAGGAAAAAGTTGCTCATAGGTATACGGTACATAAGTAGTAGGTAAACTATGAGTATAAGAAACGCAGGATAACTTTTTAGTTCCTCATCAGATATCAGTTATATTTCGTCAGTGGACTGATCTTGATGGAATTTTGAAGACTTTAGTAAGCTGTTGATGGGCAAGGTGGGACGGGACCTCGGGCGAAGTATTTGCTTATGGAATAACTGAGCCGGCATTTAGCACTAACAATAAGTGCACGGACATTGTCGAGGGCATTATTCATGTGTACGAAAAAGGATGAAGTCATTCGAGTGGACAACCACTCGCTCTTCTACATTCGTTCAGTTTGATTTGTCCGCTAGAGAACCAAATTCGCGAAAGCGATTTGTGAATCCGTCAAGTCTCCCAACACCCTAGGGGCTTGGAGTCAATCATAAATTCTTCCAGAGAGCAAAACTCTCCGAAATCCTGTTCCTGCTGCTTTTTAGCTGCTTATTGCAACGCGTACTACGAAACAGCAAATAGCTCTACTGCTGGTCTCGTGCTGCTCTATTACCCTTGGGAAAAAACGTCCGGGAAAGGCAAAGTCACATTCAAGAGCAAAAACCGAGGCTGCGCCGTAAATACGATCAGCACTATCTGGACGAGTTACCTTCGTGCCCAACTACGCACCTTAATGAATATTTTGACATTATTCACAAATCCAAGCACGACTTCCGCGTCCACTGGATTACATTCGTTTTCGAAAAGGCACGAATACGATGGCTCTTCGTAGACCGAGGCAGCCGATGTCGGTGCCTCCAGCTGGCGCACTGAAAGAACGGGCTACTTATGGGCATTCAAGTTCAGTAATACAAAAAACATACCTATCAGGACTGCTAAGGTTGATCGATTATTTTGATAAAAATAAGGTTTATATCTGGAATGAATTAAAATTTAGAAAATATTTCTCCTGAAGGAACAATGAATCTACTGGCCTTTTGTAGGCTGTTTCTATACCAGCCAGATTTGCATGCGAAAGCTGATGATGAAGATCACAGATGAACGGGAGCCGCGATATCGTTGTACAAGTTAAACGATGCTAAAACAGTAAGGAAGTAGGGTTAGAGTAGGGTTAAGAAGGATTAAGTATGCTTACGTAACAATTCTACGAAATCACACAAGAAGAGGTGACGAATGGCCTCAAAAATGATGTCATCCAAGTTTAACCACAATTAGGCATCCAAAACTGGCTTATTGAATCAATTGAAAAAAACTCAGTCGTCAAAGAATGACGCCAGATTTTAGGGTTGGTGTGTATTTGCCGAGGCTTCCCCCATCGGGATCTCGAATCATTCGTGCTGGCCAATCCATCATTTCAGCTTATAGCACAGTCGCAGAGTAGCAATGGAGTCAGAAGGAAGCCTTTCCATAGTTAGAACGTGTTTCGAAATTAGAATTGACTAAGGAAACCAGTCCTTCTTCTTTGTGTCACTCACAGTCCACGAACTCAGGATGAAATGGTGGATAATCTTCCTGAGACCATTTCGGCTAATATCTTATTGAAACATGTGATGTTGAAAGTATTGCTTTATGTTCGCCTGTCGTACAGGTCGTTACGATGGGCATTCTTTATTCGGTCCATGTCTCGAACAATCGCCGTCTTCAGGGCAAAATCGGTTCGAAGTTCTTAGGTTGTAACTTGGCCGGCCACGCCCCACTCAAGAGCTACAAATTGAGGAAATATCACTTTTTCGGCTTCGCCACAACGAACTAACCGATTTGACCCGTTCTTGTATGAATGAACCCTCACGGAACCAACTGCGATGATTTTGGTGTGCTCAGATATACACACATGACACTGCTGATTGTCTCCGACGCCTTCTAAAAAATATCTCGCCTTAACTGAGACGCAGTGAATGAGGAGGAGATGCCATCAGTGGCGAGGCGATTTCTCGGCAGGCGAGAAAAAGCGCATTTTGATTGGAACACTTGAGCAATGCATCGAAACTCAAGAGTTTTTCGAAAATCTACGAGGACTTTCAAGTGGAACTCTTCAGGCGATTTGATTAAGCTGAAGCAGCATCTTGAAGCTGATTCAGTGTAGAGCACAAAAAACTAATTACGTAGAATAAAAAAGGAGTCAAATTGAGTGAATTGCTTTTTGAGGGTCTAGTTTCGAATTCTAGCGTGTCCATAAGATTAGCTTCGACCTTAAGGTAGCAGGAAGCTTCTCAAGGTGTGCTCAAAGTAGCGTTGGCTTCGTATGTTGCACGAAAACTTGGATCAGTTGGCCTCCATCTGATCAGGCGTTCTCTCGGGAAAAGTGACGTCATCGTAACAGAAAACTCGCTAAGGAGCGGGGCAAACGCCTAAGAAGAAGAAGCAGGGACTTTGGATTTCAGCAGGTACCCACATGTTCTTCGGGCATGTAATTGTGCTGGCATTTTTGTCTCCACGGGTGATTCTGATTGTTCGAATTTCCTTTTCTAAACTCGTTCCTCTGCGACACTACTAATATATGAGTAGTTCGATTCTTCTCGCAAATACATCCCTTTGATGGAGCGTAGGGCTCAGTGCTCAAATTGGCTGGAAGGCATCCTTCACGAATGTGAAGTGGAGCGAAAACTTATGTTTTCGTGTTCTGCGGAGTGTTGTTCTACTAGTTCGAAAACGTCAGCCCACTATGAATTGCCGAAGTTCAGTACTAATGCATCAGCAATGGAGCCGACGGCCCTCATGTATTGGCCCTCTCGGGGTATTGGCTTTCTCTCAGTAGTAAAGCCATGATTCATATTTCAATGGATTAGAAACAATGGATGTTGTCGTGGTCGGGGCAAGACGGATTGAACGAAAAACGTCGCCAAAATATTCCTTGAAGAACAGTTTTAGTTCTGAGGGCGATGCCCGTTGATGAGTCGCGTTCCCATGGAAGCAGACTTTTTTGCTTCCAAGAGTTCAATTGTCAAGCATGACGAAGCTGCCGTTGAAAAACTGTTAACGGCCAAACTCTTCATAATTTACAGATTACAGCAGCTGGGTTGACGAGTAATTCAATCCTGATTAGATTTCCCGACCAGTAAACCAATTTCCATTCGCATTTCTACGCGAATTCTATGCATTTTTAATGAGTCAAAACGTGAGACAATCCTCGTGTGTCACCATGACCTCTCAAATACGAATCAAGCACGGATAGATTCACATTTCTCTACGATTTCTATGCATTTTCAATGAACCAGCAGGCAACCCTCGTGTGTCACACCCATATCAAACATGGAATCGTATACCAGTAAGTTAGAGAAAACAAACCTCATGGGTATCGTATACCGGTGACGGAAACGTGCATGGTGTAAATATCGGCGGAACTGGTATTTGACCAGCAGAGGAGAGTTGTAGAAGCGCTAACAGAAGCATGTCGCCATAATTACTGTGACGGCAAGAACAGCTGAGGTAGAACAGAGCCGAGGCGACGGTTCCCGATGGAACCGGGTTACGTTGGAGGATGAGCTCACAGGTGTCGTCACAGAGCAGCACACACCGAATTACAAGAATGTCTGGATCGAGCCACGAGGTCGCCAGCGCGCCTTGTCCATTATGAAGCGTGACCACGCCCACTTCAGCAGAGGCGAACTGCTTCGTCTGATGACCTAAATTGCATGTGGGAGCACATTTATCACGTTCATTCTATGAGCTTAAAAAACAAGCATCTTGAAAAACGTGGGAATGGATCATGTCAAACGAGTGAAATACTGGTATCAGTGGTGGTGGAAGGGGCATGGACAGCGGCAGCCGTTAGGTGACAGCAATGGCCCATGGATCTTCCGCGCTCTGCCGATCGAGATTGTGGGGTTCTCTCGCCGAACCCCATCATTAGCGTCAGCATGCAAATGTGAACATCGGGTTAGCGTTTCGATGAAGCTCCAGATATGAATTGCTGAAGGCAGTAGACCACACTGTTTTATGTCATGGGAGTTTTCACGCAATATGAATTTATGGGTAAAGGTAGTCAAGCGTGTCAAATACATTACTAGTAGGACAGCAAACCAGCTGCTTCACAGCTGAGGATATGACATCATGGTAACGTAAAAACGAAACAGCAGCGTCTGAAGAGGCTTCATTTACGAGCAAATGATTAGAGCTGGCAACTAGTGCGTGCACACTTCGCAGCAGTAACGTCTCCCCTTTATGCCTGCACTTTGTGGTCGCCTTATAAAGATTCACTCCACAATTAAACCCATTTATGTGCATAATGACGCTAATGCTGCACGGAGGTATCCAAGTCGTTCGGTGCACCAACTTTTATTGATGACACTAGTATTAGCAAGCGATTAAAGGCACGGGTAGGAATCAAGATGGCGGGTTGCTTTGCTCAAACATTGAACGGCGACGAGAAAAGTGAGCGGGGATAAAGCAGAAAGCACTACAGAAAACACTCAAATCTCCCTTGTGCCGTCGAAGTGATACGAACGAGGGACACAGGGGGCAAGGAGAGGCAAAGCGCCAGAGAGCCTATCGTACGCGAGAGAGCGCAGACCTATGCATGCTGCGATTGATAAGTATGGCAGCGGTTGAAGCAGTCAAGCGAGGGCATTTGAGAGCATTAGATCCATTGTCACCCACCAAGTCGCGACAGTACCACCACCCCTGTATACTGTGACCTGTTTATGACTGCATAGTCAACAAACCCCACAGGTTTTTGGTTTTCCAGCATCGTGCAGTGTGCCTTGAATTGAATGCAGGACCCAATAATGGCTCCCAGTGCAACTCAAATAGGAATTATATTCACGTCAAGATAGCTGTAAGAGAAAGTAGATCATGTTAGTTCACTCAACGGAAAAGGGTTTGTCGCAAATTTCACTTCCGCGATCAATTTTCCAGGAAGACCTTTGATTTTTAACGTGGACAAAGCACTGCCAACCTTTTCTTGGCCTGCTAAGTTCAAGGAACACAATGGCATCCTGGAGTGTTCTAATATTGACGATGCTGCAAGCCTATTGTTGAGAAGAAGGTGCGATGGTGACTCGGCAGGTCCGAGCCCAAACGTGTCCACGTTAAAGAGCATAGAGGAGTAGGTAGGCCGACATCCAGCGAGCCTCGGTGACGACTTCGAAAGTGGGTTGGAATTACGAGAAACACAAAGTACCAAACACCATTTCTCCAGGTTCGTCTTTTGAAGAGAGGCCGAATGCTTTTCCTATTAAGCAGAAGTAGATTTAAGGCAAGAATCAGGATTACATTGATGGGTTGGTTCCACTCAAATGTGAAAGTATGGATGAGAGGTGGACCGCCAATGGAGAAAAAAGGAAAGAAAATCCTGACATGCACGGGGAATATTAGCATTTTGCTCATTGCTGTGGAGAAGTTCAAAAGACAGGCAGGAAGAATAGAGATAATGTAAGTGCGGAGAGCGGTAGAGAATTCCGAGAAGAGAGAGCAGAGACGCAGACAAGGCTTTGATCGGTGGGCGGACCATGTTATGTTTGGTGGAGTCTGTTATATGTTAATGGCGCATAGGGTCCTAATGACGGGTATTGATGAAGAAAGGTGGCGCTAACTTTGCACTTGGGTGCCCAGCACTTCTAGCCATGGTAAGGGCTCCTCAGGTAGGTCTGAGCCCGAACTTTGCCTTCAAATAAGGATGCATAAGGCCCCTTCCATAATTTATGTATTTTAATCGATCACTTTCACTTAACATTCTGTGTGTTTTTTGATGTTGCCGTGCTTTCCTTTTTTGTGAATTACTCTCTGAATGGTCACCGTCGTGGATTTGCGTGAAAGTGACGATAAGTCCACAAGGCATCAAAAAATATGCCGAATGTTGACATGAAATCGGCCAGCGCGAATACGAAATGTACGCGCATGAATGTGGTAAGCCCATAGCAAACTTCCCAAGCGTTTCGATTTGTGCAAATTTGTGAAATTCTAGGTTTCTGACCCGCTATTTTTCATTGGAACGACGGGCTCTAATTATTCCCGGCAGACCTGCAAATGTACGAAACACCTGTACGTTCAAGAAAAAATAGAAGATTGGGTTATTTGCCTTATTAAGCCTTAGCGGTATCTACTGGGTTTTGTCTAAGAGAGCTTCCCGCTTATATGCAAAATTTTGCTTAATTTGAGTTTTGTTTGAATTTAATGTTTTTAATTTGTGACCAATTTGGTCTCCGATGTGCTACTGTAGCGCATCTTTGAGTGCACAGTAATAAATAGATAATTAAATAAACAAATAAATACGGAAATCGCTCTCGCTCTGCAGACGTGTAGGCTTATTTGAATAGGATAGGAATTGATCCAGCCACCGCGAAATACGCCTCAACTCAAAGGTAAATCTGGTATTTGATGCTTGTAAGCAGAACTACGCCTTGGCTGTTTTTTGCGATGAATAGTATGCAGCTGATTTATGTGAGGAAAGCTTATGTGCCTTCGTCGAAAGCAGCGTGGCATTAAACTGTCAGGTGCTTCAAATAACACATTTCGTAGGACGCTATAAATGCTTTTGTGCGTCCAAAAAATGAGTATTTGGGCCATAGCTGTCAAAGCGAACAATTGCCAAAGTAAACTGAGAGAAGGTCTGGCACACTATCAACGTCAATCCCATAAGTTGACGCTTTTTTCGGAATTGAGATTGAAATTAGCACTCCTTCACAGTCTTCACCTCAAGCTTCCACACCTAAGCACTTACCTTCAACTCTGGTCAAACTGGAAGTGTCATCAAGGTGATGACATGCCGAGTTTCAACATATTACATGCTATTCGCATGTGTAAAACTAAACAATTAATTTAAAAAAAACAATAGCAAAAATGTGAAAAACGAAAGTGCTGCGTAGATAGAACAAACGTGAACCAGGAAGAGGCTAATGTTTTGCGTCAAGCAATAAGACCTTATTCAGAGTGATCGAGATAAAGAAATACGGCTTCTTCTCATTTGGAGAATGAAGCTGCGATAGCAAGAGCCTTACACATTTTCACATATTCCATTCCTGATCGGAACGTGAAAAACCTGCGCCCAACCGAACAGTGAGGTTACCGAAATACAAGCATGAAATTCGAAGTTGCGAGTAGCACGTGGTACACCGCTATCGCGTGCAAATCGCAGGGGGTTTTGTAAAGTACTGCCGCTAAAGTCAACCGTCCGCTTCTCAGAAGGGTGATCGCATCGTGGTTTTTCTACGAGATTGTTTTTGTGGGTTTGTAGAGAGGACCAGGATGTCTGAACTTAAAGGGGTCCCTTCACCACCTTTATAGGGGATAGAAAGGTTTATTATGAAGTGAGTGGTATCATTTCAGCAACACTATGTACACCATCGATCGCTGAGGGAAATGGGAGGGGTTTTATGGGGAATCCTCATTCCGTGTGTTGCAAATATTTTGAAATCCCCACAACCTGGCGCTTGATTCCGTTCATATCCGTACGTCGTAAATACAGACTTGGCAACACAGGCGTGAGATAAGCCGTTTGGACAGAGGGAGCACCTAAAGTAAGGCGTGAGTTATATTGTTCTGCTGGAGTCACGTACAATGCGCGACGCATCGACGGTTAAGAAGTGTGCTCGCCCTCGTTTTCTCTGCGCTCTCAACGAAGAAAGAACGCGTCAAGCAAATTCGCCAACTGTACTAAGCGCCGTTCATATAGTAAGTAGAGGAAGGGCACACGCTCGCGCGCGGCGCTCAGGCTCTCCGCCCACGCGGCGGAGCGTACGCTGCGACGCTCGACCATTTTTGGATTGCTGCCCTGAACCGAAGGGGGCGTTGTTGTTGGAATGACCTTCAGAATGGACCGCAGAAAGCGCGTCGCTGCGAGTGCAATGTACGTGATTGCGGCAGGAACTTTGTAATTCACGCCTTACTTCAGGTGCTCGCTCTGTCCAAGCGGATTATCCTCACAGGCGTCACATCAGATAATTAGTAACAGGCTGAATAATGGTCGAGGAATTCCTCGACCATCGCTCTCTGCTGTGCGAGAGTAGAGCCGATAGTGAATGCATGCGCGGAGAGCATAGACGGCTCGCGGGTGGCGTGAGCGAAAATCCGCTCGCGAGAAAGTAAAGGATCAGGCGAAAATCCTCGACGTGCCGTTGAGAAATCCTCAAGCAATACCACTCTGATTAGTAGCAAAAAACAAACGTAATATCGATATTAAATCGTTGCTGCTTTGCTACCTGCATTATGTCGAGCTTGTAGTATGTGACGATGGCCTCAAGAAAACCTACTTATGCTTTGAGACGCTTCTTTGCAGTGACTCATACATTAAAGTTCTGCAGTCACGAGTTGCTGGAATTACCAGAATACAAAAAGTCCATGTAACCAACGTGAAAACTCATCCTGTATATTGCGAATATCCAATCCAGGTGAGAATATGAGCTAGTTACGTTGACAAGGGGTATTGTGGCAAATGATGCTGCTTACTTCGCGCATAGTACAGCGGTCGAATCCTACCAATTCCAGCCAACTAAGCTTTTCAACCTTCAGGGGTAAGCTAATCGTCGACATTCTCCTGTAGGAGTCCAAGCACTGTTTCGTGAATCGCCGATATCCTAGTTAATGGAAGCCATGTCTAATTCAAATGCCACATCGATTTTAAATGGAGGTAGAATACGTAGCGCATCCCAAAAAGATTTATGATCCCACATGCTTGATCTCATATCCTACTAGTCAAGCAGTAAGCACATTTACACTACCGATAGAAAACAAGCTTAGGGACGGAACGGAATATTTCCTGATTGTTTATGTAAGGAAATCCAATCAGCTAAGATTGGATCCATTTTAATAGTTGTTCAAGCTAGATGCGATAGGAAGATTTCTTCTTTTTCAATTGCAATTTTACTGAGATAAATGGCCAATTTGCTATAACGGTGGGAGTTAGTAAAGTTTTTCGCGAAAAATGCTGCTGTAGACTTTTCGTTTACAGGATAATTTCATAATTTTGCAAATCCGTGCCTTTTTTGTGGTGATTCACCACTTACAGATGATGTTTTACGGACACGTAGAGCTTCCTTAAGTAGTTTTTCTGGTGCTTCAAAATTGTGGTGGTTATGCTAAAGTTTATGTTACTAATATGCTGGTAAATCATGTCCTCTTCTTGCGTGTGGGTTCTTTTCACCACGCCCACTTCTAAAATGGATAAAGACCATGGTCCTCGGTCTTCTTGGTGACCAGCGTAAGAAAAATTGGGTTAGGGAACGGGTTGACCCCGGAAGCCTCACGTATCGCTTTCTATCCGCTTGCTCGAAAACATAATGGTTAGTGGTTCTAATGAGGTTTCCGATGGTATTCAGAGTTTGTAGACATTTTCACGAAATAAATTCCACATCGGTCGTTTTTCGCTATAATTCTAGTTAGGTCTTCTTGTAAAAGCCTCAGAATAAGCGAGCGGTCGTCGAGTTATAACGAGTCCCGTTCGACATGGTTTATTGTTGCCGAGAAGGCGGACGAATTCAGTTAGAATAAATTCGTTATAGGCTTGTTATTTTGGTGAAGATTTTGCATCCTCGGCAGACGCATATTGACAAAAATATGAAACATCAGGACCTAAGTGAATAGCACAGTGCAAAATCTCCAAAGGGCTAGGGAATCTTAGGCTCTACAAGATCGTGAGTGGCCAAATCAGAATCTAGTTTTCTGAGAATTTTTGACCGAGTGCAGTAAGCTAGAAGGAGGAGGCAATTAGATGAGCATTCCACCCTTCACCTCCAGGTGAAGAAAGGGACACAGATATCTCGCACGTACAACGGCTCATTTCCGTGCTGGCACTCATTCAGGTACCGAAGGGGCCAGGTTAAATGCCGACAAATAGTGGTTCGTCTGAGTAAGAGGCGAAACGAACCACCTTTTATTCTTCACCGATCTTTTTCTATCTTGTTAGTATAATGGCTTTGAAATTTAATAACAAGAGCAGTATCTTGTTTGACCCAAATTCATTTTTAATGTGTCGATGGCCAACAATTCTTTTGGAATTTCATCATTCAAACAATTTCTAGTGTGCGCCATGATTCTACCTTCATTTAAAATCCTAGTGCATTATGGTGATTTGGCTTATGCAGTGACTTACGCAAAGACTGACCCGTGGCGAGCGCATTATGTTTCTTCGGTGGCTTGTATAGCGAAAAAAAAATAGGAACGTGATGGTATAGGGGTTGAGGTGTGGTGAAAGTGAGTGCACCAGAATAGAAAGCATCAAGCCACTGTCATCACGGAGCCTCTTGGAAGTGAAAAAATCGAGCACTCAGGAGCAAAGCTTTTGAATAAATCATAAAGGGTTCGGAAGGTGTTTATCGGATTTCAGTGGTAAAACGCCTGAAACAGCGGCAATTTTAAAAGCGATGGAGGCCCAAGAACACTTCCTAATTGTCTCGAGTGTTGGAAATTTAGATGTGGGCATAGGCACATTGCTGCCCCTGGGAATATTGAAAAATTACAAAAAGATTGCTGAGTTACACGCAAAGCGCTTTGCCTCAGGTGGAACTTGGATTATCCAAAGCGGAGATATAGTGAATTGGAGATAATGCTTCGGATTGTAGAAAATTTCGTGAAAGAGTCCTGGAATAGAAAAAAGTCGAATATTTGCTCAAGATTGTAACATTTACTCCATACTTATTCATTTATTCATTTGTCCATTTATAACTGGGGAGTGGCAAAAATCTTATGCATGTTCCATATAAACCTTTTCCACCTTGGCGATACAGAGAATGACATACCCTCTATTTCGGAAACAAGGAGAACGTCGAGTACAGACCACACACAACAAGTTACGGCGGTGAAAGGGAAAGCCACTCCTTTCTTGGCCTCTTCACTTGTGTTGTGGTCTGCACAGTCGTGCAAAATCTGTGCAAAATCTGAAAAATCAAAAATTCCCTTGATCTCCGCCATTTTCGTTGATCGGATATCCGACAACCACTTTTGACATACGATGTCGATGGCTGTCGAAGATATAAATACCTTGTTCGATCGGAATCGGGGGACTGGCAAAAATTAACTCGAGAGAACTATTCGAATAACTTACCTTAACACCTTGGAGCCCATGCAGCCCATTGTGGGCTGCAGTTCGTCAACTGCTTAGGACCTTTTAGCCCATATTTCGGAAAGAAATATTATTTTTTTCTCTTTCATTTTCTTTTCCATCACACTTGATAAGAATTCTTCTGCATAATGCACTAGGTTTTTCATTCCAATTTGATTGATAAGATTCCCAAAAATTTGGCTGAAGTGCCGCGCGGCCGCAAAACGCGTGGTCTCCAACGTGTTAAATTTGTCCGTTTTGGAAATCGTATTTCCACATTATAACCACTGCATGGAAATTCGCATTCTTTGTCCCCGATGTCCTGACAAAACTGCTTTGAGACTTCTTCTTTTGAGTGTTGTTCATGCAGTCTACAATTATTTATGAAATGTGTACAAAAAAAGCGCTTCATATCACTCCGGTCAAAAGTACCCTTGCCAGGCATCACGCATTTGATTTCCATTCAGAAGTATTAATGAAATATGGATACGTACCTATGTACCTTGCCTACTTAGGAATATGGGCAACGGAACGAAGGAAGAGCTATGAATTCGGCAACGTGAGCAGCTCTCTCTCCTCTGGAAGAAGTCATCAATCATCTGGGCTGATCCAGAACATTGTGCCCCTAAATCTGCTCTGCTACGTGGCTGAAACGTGGGTGAACAGTGTATTCAGGTCAAGGGCCTTGGTCACAAACTCTAGAGATGCGGGCACCGACAGGAGGCTCGTCGCGCGGCAATCAAGGCAGAGTCAGAGGACGAGTCGCAGCGCGTACTGTAGTGATTGTCTAATCGTCTAATCAAATAGAATGTACCATTGTACGTCCTACATCGTACATTACGCGCTGCGACTCGTCCGCCTACTCTGCCTTCTTGCTGCGCGACGGGCCTCTTGTCGGGTACCCGAGACATACCCATGAGGGCTAGAAAGTTTGCTCATATTCAGCTGCATACGCAAAAAGAAATACGCAGAAAGTCTCGTCTATGCGAGCCGGTGGAGTAAATGGCATTGCCAGATCACGATGTTCCGGTTACATCATGAGAGGAAATGATGACAGGTGGACAAGAAGAACAGTAAAACGAGCTTCCGTAGGTCTTCTGCGGTTCAAAGGGAATCTGCTGCAAGATTTGGGATGCGCTTTTCAACCACGCAAGTTCTTGTAGATGCAGCTGAGCGATCCATCAGCACCATCTCTGCAGGTTTTTACATGAACCCTGGATGTCAATCGCGCAAGTCAGAAACGAATGGTTCATTCCTTCACTCGTAGATGAAATGAGGACGACCCGTATAAGCATGACTATACAAGTAAGTATCAAACGTCAACCAACGGTCATGGCTACGAAGGCAACTAATCATCCTTCTATGTATTGCTCCTGTGTAATCCAGAAGCACTTGGAAAAAGGCTGATCTTTGTGCTTTTTAGGCAACGCGAGGTTTGATCATAAGATTGCGTACTGGTAGCCATAAATGTGGGAACGCGACAGATGTGTACCTGATAAGGTTGGTTTTGAGAAAGGCTCCAATCGTTTGCCATTCGCATTCACACTAGAATGAAGCTCATTCTTCTTGTTGGTATGTTCTACTTAGGGATTGTGTCTCAATAGAGCAAATTCGTCATTTGTTCAGCAACGCTATGTAGCGCAGCAATTTCCATGCCTCGTGACGTGAAACTTGATGGAATTGACGACTGTGGCGCGAAGGATGTGAAACTGTTCAAGTTTATCAAGACTGGAGACGGTTGGTGATATCACAGCACATATATTCTTACTGAAACCGCTGGCTTATTAATCACGTTACTGAGAAGGCTTCATTTCATGTCCAGCAATTTTCACTTTTTTACATATTTTTCAAGTTCAAATTCCTTGGAGATCTCAAGTGAACGGTTATCCACAGTAAACCCGTCGCGCGGCCAGAAGGCAGAGGCGTAGACGTGTCAGCAGACTAGTGTGTAGTGTAGCAACTTGAGGTAAATAAAGGTAAATACAATTCACAATGCTATGTCTTCGCAGAGTACTCACTGCGACTCGTCCGTTCACTCTGCGTCTCTGCCTTCTCGCTGCGGGCCTCCTATCGGATACCCCTACGAAAAGTGCTAACGGCTACGGTTTTTTTGCGTTTCTCACCATATCAACTTTCAGCCAAGATGGATATTGCCTGTGAACTATGCCTTGACATGGTGCTCATTGCTGAGACGTACGCTGAATGTGGAGAGGTCAGTAGTGAAAAGACTTAATTGTTGTAGGCTGAAATCTTACCGTGCACCCTTTCTACATAGGAACTGGGGAAGAAATGCGTTGGGTGACAGGAGTGATTGCTTCTATCATCTAATATGCAGTGAAGCATGAACAGCCTCACTCATAAGTGTTGGGACTTCATCTGCATAGGTGACAGACCAAATGACACAATCACAGGCTTCGAAAAACCACGCACAGAACCAACTTCTTTTGCCTATTACTATGTATCGATGATTACACGCAGGAATCACCTTCGCCTGCCTGGATGCATGTGTCCCGTACCCGAGTAAGTCGTAAATGCAGAATCAGTAGCACTGATGTGATGATCAATAGCACCAAGAACCATACGTGGAATTCTGGAATTTTACGCCGCTTTTCAATGGTACTACAGTTGCTGTATCTACGGCTCACCTAGACGCGTGAAACAAAGTGTACAGGGGTAGGACCAAAAAAAGATTCTCTTTGCCCATGGCGCACATCATCTAATTTTCCTTCGCACAGAATGCCGCAGCTAATGAATGTTTTGCGGCAGAATATTCCATAGGTCTCCCCCCATAAGCAGAAGCAGCCCCTACTTCAGTGCCCTCACGGTCTTCGGAATACGTCATCTGCCGGGACGGGACTTACCGTAATCGCTCCGACCTGAAGCTGCAACCTAATTTCTTCAATCGTTTAAGCGGAGACTAGCTTCCCGGAGACAATAGCTGTTTGTGCAAGACCGCTTTTGACCGGCATTTCAGGGACGTCGTAATGGTCTATGTACCTTGACCACCTCGATGAGCTCACACCGTGAGCCATATTTCCGTGGGAAAATCTTCTGATGTCGTCTGTGTAGAAGGCTGTCATGTGACCTATTGATAGACTTGAATGTGCTCTTTGATATGCAATTGGGCTTACTCGATTTGGTTTCGCAGTTCGAGATTAATTGCTTCACTTCGTGCTACTCTCGTTTTGAATGTGGAGAGAAATGACTCTTTCCCCCCCCCCGCTGTATATGCGTTCCCCTTAACATAGAATAGAGTTGCTCCACACCTTTCCCTCGGCTACTTAAATGTTACCCACTTTTTGCTGTCATACCCTTCAATGTAAGCATGAGGATCTTCGAGTTTTTGAATACGAACTTTGCCTAATGCCTGACCCCTGTGGACTGGCACTATCCATTGTGGGTGTTGTAGTGAACTCTTCAAGGCTCAAATAAATTAATTATAGGCTGAAGTTGAAGCTGCGCTGGAGAAGAAGTGCGACAAAGACTTCGGCTCTGCCGCCACGGACAAACTCTGCCGCAGTATGATTGAGAAAATAGCACATGTGAGTGCCCGTTTGGAATAGAATTTATAAAATTTCAAACATTTTTAAATGGATCGAAATGATTCGAGAATTGTCCTATCCCGAAAACACCTGAACCTTCGCAAACTTTTGCACTCACACACTTTTGCAATTTCTTTTGTAAAAAGTTTTAGTCCTCTGCAATAATACTTGAAGTCTCACACACAGTCTCCCTTATTACGAATTCAAATTAGTTGAGATGAACGGCTTTGTAAGAACCTCAGCATAATATATTGATGACTGTATCTTCTGTAAGCTCTCGACGAGGTTGTTAAGCAGACTTTATTGGTTTACGTTTGGCGGGTCGCCTTCTTCAGATCGGATCCGGAATCAAGTTTAGTCCGGATTGCTGTGTGTCCCACTACTGGTTCCGGGTGCTCTCAAGTACCGGACTAAGTTACGATAAGTGGCCCACCTTGGTATTGCATGATGACCTGTTTTGCTCTCGAATTTCAGTAGGATAGCGGAGGCGTTTGGTAAGGGTACCCTTCCAAAAGGCCCGTCGCGCGGCAAGAAGGCAAAGTCAGCGGACGAGTCGCGCGCTATAGGGATTTCGCGTCAAGTAAATGGATGTACCACTGCACGTCCCACCCACACATCACGCGCTGCAACTCGTCCGACGACTATGCCTTTGTGCCGCGCGACGGCCTTCTGGGGGGAGTACCCGTTTGGTCGGGTAGTTATAAATTGCTTCGATCCTTCCAGGCTCTGAAGAAGGCAACCCCGCCGAAACGTAAGCCAATAAAGTCTGCTTAACAACCTCGTCCAACACTTACAGAATATAGCCATCACTTAAATTAATTGCTTCGTGAGTGAGCAGGTGTGGCAGTTTCTCTTGTATTTATTTGTATTTTATATTTGTAAGAGCTTCCCGACATAATCCTGCCGTTTGATTTTGGAAAAAATGTTTGTACCCTTAGCTATAAACCCTTTGTTTCAAAATTTTGAGTTAATATAATTTTCTGAATCCGCAAACACTCAGAATGCGATTGCTTTGTAATTGTTGAGCAGACTGAGACGATGTATTTGAACATGTTGCTTTTTTCAGGAAGTTATTGAAGACACCGAACAGGACCCTACTGCAGTATGCTACAAGGTCATTCACAAGGAATGTAGCTACAGCTTCATTTGAAGAACTCACCACTGATGATGTAATTGAAATTGTAATTGAAATAATAGTTATAAATTTTATTGGTGCTTAGACACAAGCAAGTTTGATCTGTCGAGTAGCAAGTAAACGAGTGAAATCTCACTCTACGTGCAATGAACGAAAAACAAGCATTATGCCTTAACAGAATAAATGTAGCAATTGCTAGAACCTTTGAACCTGCTTGCAGGGCCAACCATCATGTTGGACCAATTGAGAAAATTTTACGAACCCCCCCCTTCCTAGAGGGCCCCGGTGTGACCCACTAAGGGTAAACCCTTCGCGATCCCCTCCACCACACCACCATGAGACTCAGGAGGCTCCACCAATAAAGAGCACCACCCTCCTCCACCCTCACCATCATGACTGATTCCAAAGTATTTGATTTTGAAACCAGTCGACACAGCCCAACCCCGCCCACATTCTCCTCCAAAATTTCCTTCGAGCGGGTGGGGGGTATGTATCAAATGTGGAACGGCAAAATTTTAGCGCACAAAATCTACCAACCTACCAACCAACGCGGGCAACAACCTAATCCGTTCCATTCCGTCCCATGAAAAATTCTTCCATCACTGTAACACTAACGCTGCCTCCAACCCTGCAAAATACGATCATCCCCTCTTTTCGATCGCCCAAATAGGACCCCCTTACAGGCAGGAACAAGCGTTCGTTGGACTTTGTCCAACGATCGGTTGATCCTGCCTGTTTGTTGAATTTCTTGTGCCTTACGAGCTTGTTTGGTGGAGCACTCTTTCAGTGGTAACGTTCCGACCGAATTGTCTTCTTCAAAGGCCTGAGCATGTTTCAAGTACTACACTCCACTCAACCCCACCAAGCGACTAATCCCCTCCGGCTGTATCAGGATCCCCTTTACAAGGTCAGAACAGCGTTAAAAAATAAACTCACCGACAATTCCACCGTATCAGCTGCAAAGTTCGCTGCCACACTAGGGCGCTAATCAGCTGTAGATACGGAATGGTGAATTGTCTCCCTACACTGAAAGTAGTGGGAAAGAAAGAAAGTGGAGACGCACGTAAAGCTCTGTCATGCTACAGCTAGCACTTAAACTGCAGGAGACTGGAAGGCACTCATGTTGGTTGTTCATCCTTGGATTCCTAGTGAATATCAGGAATGCCTCTGATGTTTGCTTTGCCGAAATTTCCGTTTCAAGTTCCAACAGAGAGCACCTTGTTTCGTATCTCTCCCATTATGCCTTCAACCCTACGCCTTCGAAGCCCTTGGTTGGGTAGAGCGTAGTCCAACACTTGAAACAACACGTTCAGACCGGTCAAAAACAATTTTCCTGGATTTCGAATGAATACGTTTCAATCCAGAAAAAAAGCACTTGCTATGAAAAGACGAAGCACAGTAGGCCTCCGGCACTTTAAACGATTCAGTAGATCAAAAAGTGTGTCTGTGACGAAAGTTTGCCAATTTGCAGGAATTATGCTAATAGACGATCTAATGAATTATTCTAAGATAACACGCAAGTATTTAGTGAAGTACCGGAATTTTTTAATACAGTCTCTAAGGGCATATTACTGCCAATTTTCCGAAATTGCGAATGATTGGGTTTTAACCTGGAAAAAATGCATTTGCAATTAGGTGATAAGGCACAGTAGGGCTTCGTCACTTCGAACTGCACAACTGATTAAACATCCGTTCTCTGCGAATTTCTGCAGTCGAGAAATATTTTAATGGAATAAGCTCACTTTTATGGGAAGAGATTCCTTATTTAACACTTGAAGTCCTTTATCGTAAATTTTTCAGAATCTCTCATAATTGCGACCAACTCGGGGAAAAACGAAGCATAGTCCACCTTTGCATAACGGCGTTTAAGGCTCAGTGAAGGAACTCGTAGAGTAAAATTTTTTATGGCGCTTCAAGACGATCTATGGATTTTCGAGGCATAAGAGCTTTGGAAATCAACGGAGTGGAGCGTATCGCAAAATGTTTCTAAGACGATGGGCAGGAAGCGATCCATTTCTTTACCGTGAAGTACTTCCATGGGCTCAGGGTAACCCTCCATTTCACTGACCACAACAAATACCTGCGATCAGCCATAGTGTTTCTCCAGAATGCTGATGGTAGGCTCAACGACGTTCTGAAAGAGCAATGTCGACTTGTGAGTCTGAGGAAGGAAGGAACTTGAGAAGAAGTAACGCTCTGGAAGGAGACAAACGGAATTCGAGTCGAATAGTGCGAAAATGTTATACGCAACCCGTACTGAAGTTTCTCCAACGCTGCTGGTATAGTTTATATTCGTCACGCTGCTTACCGAAGCGACTGCTTTTCCTCCTAGAGCTTGCTTTGGAGCTGTTACACTTCAAATGCTAATGATGGAATTAGCTGCGTGAACAAATTCAACTAATATACAATTAGAGTAATGCAAAACAGGTCGATCTTAAAAGGGAAGCGAAACCAAACCTACGAACTCAGCAAACCCTCGCAAGTTACTGGAAAAAAGCATTCAATTACCTCTGCGAAGGGCGAATGTCGATCAAATGCATGGCGCATCCACCAGAAATGGTTGGCGCCATTCATCATTGTTTCTTATGATGATTCAATTTTCTAAATGATGCTTTTATTATCAGATGGCTCGCAGTTACCTCATATTGACCTCACGATGCGAATGCTTTTATTTGGTGTGACTTTGATAAGACGCTGGAAACATTAGTGCTATTCACCTAGTCTTCATATCACCAATCGAGGTCAATCAATAGACTTGCTACACTCTGCAGGATGATTGTGGTACGTTTTTATTGATTTGTTGTTCTGAGCCTAACGCGGAAAATGAGCTTTAAAACAAAAATTATAAGTTTCCTTTTAGTATAGCATTTCTTGAAACAAAGCGTGGGAAAGTAAAGAGACCGCATTTCTTTTTGTTGCGAAGTCCTTTCTTGGAATAGGGTCCATTTCACTTCGTTATCAGAAGGACGTGATTCTTCCTATATAATACAACCGTATCAGTCAAGAAGGGCCCACGTCATCGGCTGTTATCAATATTAACATTTCTTAATCACGAACTGCGCAAGGGTTGAAACCGCGCCAGCGTGACGGTTCTTTTTTTCCGTAGGAATGTCAGCCTGGTAGCGAAGGTTTCGTGGAAAGTTCTGGTGGATAGGTTCAAAGCCCCTTTTGTGGAGCTATTTCCGTGAAAATACCTTGAATAATTTTTCACTCGTTTAGATCGGATTTATATATATATATATTTTATCTTTACTTTTTTAAAAGCTTACCTAATACGTAGAATCCATGGTGTTACTTTTTGAATGTATCAGAACGAATATTTTCTTATGCTTTCTTTTCGTCGAGCAAACGTTTGTAGGATTTCTGCAACCGAGAAATCCCCCTCTGGTGCATATTTATTTGCTTTATTTAATTTTTTTCACTTTTTATTCACTTTTTCTGCTTATTTAGTTGTTGCATATTCTGTCCTATAACAAAAAGATGTTGCAGTTGAGGACAATCGCCAATGGTCCGATTTCCAAAAATCCCCCATCTTAAAGCGAACTCGACACGATCCCTCATGCTGCTCGAAGGAAGAGCAAATGATTTGATTTTGTCCACTTCACCCTTCCTTATCAAAATTTCCACCAAAATCGTCTTCAAAAAACCCATTAAAAACAACCCCTTTTGTCGTGCACTGCAATACGACCCCATACGGCCCCATCATTGCTATAATCACCAACCCACAAAAACAAAACATGACCACACCATTCTCCAGAATTCACAAATACCCCCCCACCCAACTTGGTGAACTCGGTACAAGGGACAGTCGACCCCGGTCGCAGCAACGAGGACGGGGACAGCATCAGAGTCCTCGCCCACATGCCCGGGCCACTTAAGCCTTCAGCCCGGCCGGGCACTGTAGGTTGTGCGTGAGGAATACCATTTAGCACAAGCGCAAGCCACACTTTTTGATCATCATAGCGTACATCCAGGTGACTTGGTAACTGTAAGTGATAAATATAGAATTGGGATCCCTCCCAGATGCCTTTCCGGTTGTGATAGTGAGGACGATGGTCGGATGATGAGTCAACCCGAATGATTTATCTACATGCACTTCTGCTAATACCAGTAACCCCAGTACCGCTACGTTTGTTGTCCGATCACCATTCCATACATCGAATGAGCTCTGACACGAAGGTACACATACATGTTACTGAAGGCTGCTGTTTGAGTCGGACCTATTATAATTTCCTTTTTGAGATGAGATCCACACATGTCTATGACCAACCATAATCCTGAATATTGTAAAGGTTTTCACTTTTTTCCTATTTTTTTCTTCTTTTTCTTCTCTTTTTTCAGACATGGTTCATTCTTGCATGCCTCTATGCTGGCGGACAGTGTGACTACTTCAATGATACTACTACTGGATGTTCGTCGAAATGTTCTGTGACTTCCAATAAGGTTCGGATCACTGCTCCTGGGCATCGTTGATTTTTGCTGAAGCCAGTTCATTCAAAGGATCTCTCCTGTTTCAATAGAACACTTGACTATTTCGAACGCACACTATTCGGAATTATGAGGAACTACGTTGCTTCTCAGGTAAGAGTTCATCACATCATTCTCAGTTCGACCCGAATTGTTATAGTAATGCTTCTTCTCTATCACCAAGCGCGTCCGATTAGGAGGACCGCTTGCCCATCCATCTCACTAAATACGGCAGAGATAGTCTCAAAGTGGTAAAAGGTATGCTGTTCTTGCAGCTGGAAATTGGGCTTCAAGACCTTGTCACATGTGCTTCGAGCGCTTCCGTTGTCGCTAATGCAACGGTGCGCGTGTCTGCGTCCCGCTCATCCCTGCCTTCTCTCGCCTGTTCCCTCTCCCCGGCAGTCACTGTCTCTTCTACGCAGCAACTTCCAATTCACGAAACCGTAAATTTTGGTGTTTTCTGTGGTTTCCTCTCTTTGTTTTTTACTAACGGTCCATTTCTCACCGTACTTTCATTTTGGGAGATGATAATAGCACCAAGCCGACCATGTTATGCGCCACTGATACTCGCAGACCGCTCATGGAAGCTTCTACAATTCTGGACTCGAGGATTTTGCGGTGGGCTAACAAACTAAAATTTCACTTGGCTTAGCCCAGTAGAGTCACTGCATCCTTGCACCTGAGCATAGTATGTACATAACTATGCATGATTAAATACTCTGCGCTGCCCGTTGCGCTAATATTTATACGCTATGCTTGCAGATACTCTGCCTGCTTGATTCGCTCCCAGCTTAGTTTTTATCCTATTTTTCACTTTTCAAATGCAAACTTTTTCAGCTCAATCTGGCATCACGCCCTGCAAATCACGTCCCTCTGTCACAGCAACAGATGGTGTCCACAACACTTGATGTGATGGAAACAGTAAGTTCACAGTTTATTCCACCTCAAGCAGATTTGAGAAAATCCGGCATTATGCAACGTTAACGCATCGTTTGAAAATATGGTTGCAGTAAAAGTTTCAGGTACAACCTGTCAACATTGAGGATGAAAAGGGGTTGCTTACGGTCGATGGTGCCAGACCGATAGTTGAAGCACTCGTGAATAATATCATGGTAAGTGACCTAACTTTCAAAAAACGAGAAAAGCGTCGGGTGCAGATCATACACCACAAGTGACGACGGCCTCCACAAAATGTGAATATTTTTCACCAGTGATATAATTAGCCTGATGTTGTTGTATTCTCTAAGTTGTCACTAATTACAACACTCATTTATCAAAAATCAGCTATAACTATGAACCACAACTTACCATATTTACTTCGAGGCTGTTGTCACTTGTGGTGTATGGTCTGTACCTGACGCCCTTCTCGTTTTTCGAAAAAGAGACTACGTAAAGTAACACTATCTCATCAGAACCCTGAAATTTCTGAACTTTCTCCTTGTGCGACATAGGACTGAAGATGTCAGCTCGCGAGGCTCAAGGGCAGGGGCAGTGATCACGATGGCTAGAGGGTGGTGCTGCTTCGGCGATGTCCTGAACGTCACTGGTGGGCTAGACCCCTCAACACTCTGGGGAGGGGGCGGGATGTGGTGAAATGCGCCTCTTCAAGCCCTTTTACCAATGGCGTTGAATTACATATCAAAACCGCAACGCCCACCGACCGGTGTGATCGCAGTTTTTAATCGTGTGATCAAAGCAATTGAGTCTCATAAGACCAGAACGTCGCCGTTCACTCTGATTTCTCGCTCATTTTTTTCTACGTTTTCTCTCCTTCCTTCCACATTTTAAAATGCCTCTTTCTTAACCTTGAGTGATCAATCTTCGTAGATATCTCACACTGTCAAAAGTGTCCAGACTTTGCAATGCTGGACCTCTGAACTCTGATCTTCGAATGTTCTTCTTTCTGTATATAAGAAAACTACCAACTCTTCCAGGGCAAACCTCGCGCTATGAACAACTACGTGTGTCCGCATGGGTGCGAAAAGTCAAGTGCTCCTTGGCTTTGGTATTTCATTGCCTCGGTTGTAATCAACTTCTTTTTAGCAGCATTCGGAATTTTTGGAGTAATGCAGAGGTATGCTTGTATCGCTCCTTCTATATTGATTAGTACATGTTTTTGAATAAATGAACATTGTATCCATACACCATTAATTATTTCAGTTACCGGAAAACCAAGAAAATGCTGAAACACGTCCAAAAAGGCCCACCGAACACGATAAAAGCTGGAAAGCAAAATTGAATGACTCCTTCAAGAACTCCACTTCAGTGAACTGTTACTGTTTCATATAAATAGTATTTATAACTCGCCACAGAAACGACGCATGCTAAAGTAGCGATGAACAACAGTTTTTGAGAGCTCCTGTTGTGTGCCGCTGTTTTTCTTTTCTTCGTCAAGGCCCATTAAACGCCGCTCAAGGGATGGGGGTAAGGGAAATTAAAGTGCGTCAGCCACTCACAGTACTCGAGACTAAGCCTTTGACAGGAAACAGTATTCCGGGAAAGGATGTGCGCAAGTTTCATTCTCCCCAGCGTTTCTGCCTTTTCCTCAAGTTAGACCGCTTCAACCGGTGTTCCGCCTCCACTCGAAAGGTACAAGCTCATCAAGCGCATTTTATTCTCATTCAAAATCAAGGTAACAAATGAAGGCGGTCTGACTTATAGAAATTTTTCAGACCGCTGATTTGTACGTATTCTCATAGACGAACGGGCCTTCTAATAGCTAACGAACCCCGGAGGGATGGAAGGCTTGGTTGCCTGGACTGCGTATGAGAACGTACGCGTGATAAGCAGCGCCACACCACTCTCGCCCAGGTTACAGCATATCATGTTAGGGTTGCAAAGAAAGCTAGATAGCTCTTCTGATGTAGTTCGCTCCAAGGATACTCATAGAAAACAGGATATTCGATTTTATTAGGAATCTGCGCTCTTAGATGTCGGTCACACTCGGCGATTAAAACGCGATGGACCAGCGACGGAGCGACGCGATTGCTCCATCGCTGGTCCATCGCGTTGAGCCGCCGAGTCTGACTGACCTCTTACGGTTAGCGCGGCTTCAGATGCGCAAGACAGCTCAATAAGCACAAGGCAGCACGAAGCTCTCAGCTCGGCCTTTGAGGAGAAAGCCATTCTGTCCAGGGAGAGACATTGAGGACAGTAGCTGCTCTTGTTTACCACACCCCGATACCGTTTTTCACGCAAACTCGTTTTTTACGATATTTTAACACGAGTGGGACAATTGAAGGTTGCAACATATAAGCTGATTATCTTCAAGTAAGCTTCTTTTGTAAAAGCTAAGGTATTGAATTGTTGTGTTGTGTTTAATACCTACTCGTCCAATCGAACAGTGTACGATGAGCTTGAAAAAGCATGACTGAGTTCAAAAGGCGGTCCATGCCGTCATTAGCACTCTACCGGTCAGAATTTGCATAAATTCCTTAATAGAGCGCTCTTGTTCACTAAGCCGATTAACTGGCACCTCGGTCTCGTAGTAGCGCTAGTACGCTACAATTCTGTTACTGCATATTCAAATCGAGCCCTCGCATTCACACTTCGGTCGTAAGTCAAGGTCATAGCGATGTGTGGTGCTATTGTCTGTGTTGTGAACGATCGCTAGAGCCTTTTTCGTTGTTGCTGGAGGTTTTCGGCTCAAATCTGTTGCCAGTTGTTAAGCGCACTCTACTCCGATCCCATGCATAAACACTTTTTCACGTGAAAATCACCACCTGAAATTTATGTTCCAGCTGATATTTGTTTCTGGCACATAGCCAATTTCAATTTCTCTCGTTACACAAGTCCGCGTCAATTGAATGAAGCATGTGGAATTAGAATGCGAAAATGCTACAGCGAGCGCGTTACACTGTTACTTTAATGAACTCACCCTATCACTGCTGTTTTGTTCACGAAAACCTTCCCTAGAAGACATCATCTGAGTAGTGCTAGTCGTCCTTTCAGCTTCTATTGAAGCAGCCTCTCTTGCTCGCATCATCGCCACAAAGAACACTCAGTATCCTAGCTCGAGTTGCAAGTATGGACTCAATGGTCCGTGGCCAGCTCGCTAACAGAATAGAGGTGGCAATGAAGTACCAGCCCTTGGTGAGCTTCATCACCCGCTCATAAACAGCTTGACTGAGTCATTTGTTTCCTTACTTATTTCCAGAAATTCTCGTTACCGTCACTTCTTGTACTTATGGATGTATAAGCTTTCAGGGTTTAGACATTTGTAGGGCTTCCTGTTTACAAACAGCTCCCACCAAGGCCGAGTCATTCCTTAACAGGAGCAGTAACGGATTGGGACTGTAGCGGGAAATTTGCTTTGTAAGGGGTATCTCAGAAAGACCAAAAAAGTCATTTTTGCCTAGGGCGTATCAGCAAACTTCCAGAAGGCTGCCGCCGTTGATGGGAATTGATTTTGAATTTGATGCCGAATGTCCTCCAAAAACATGCAGGCCCTCCTTCACTGCCCTCATGCCCTGTTGTACAATTAACTTGGCTTCATTCCGATATAGAGGTGGAGGCCACAGTGTCAGAGGCTTCACCCGCAATCACAATGAGACGGTGAAACCGCCCGCTCATTCATTAGACAGCACAAAATTTTTTCCAGCCGATCGATGGCATTTGTGCCTCTCTGAAACACTCGTTATGGGGAAATAAGGGGTCTAAAGTGGCCATCTAGTCTGGTAAAAGCTGCAGTCACAAGCTTCCCTTAGTTACACATGAACCACGTAAAGGTCCGTGGATTCTCTGTTCTACTGCTCGATCTATCGACACTAACCGGTCGGCTGATCACTCAAGAGGTTTTAGTAGTGATCACTGTGAGGACTGCGCTAAAAAATTGACAGTGAGAATAACTTTTTGATAAACGATCACTCAAAATTGAAGAAATTAGGCAAAATGGGGTTAAAAAACTGATCTTGAAAATAGTGAAGAGGAAGAACAATGGAGTAGTGCGAGTTGCGTTCCATGCATGCATCCTCAGACGGGAGTCACTCTGGCAGAACTAACCTAACTCCGTGCCCTCCAGTAAAAAAAAGAGGTGAAATTTGCACAAACGTGATAGCAAAGCTTCCACCCCATTTTTCCTTTACAACTTTCCCATATACCACGTGAAAAATTTGAGTGCTCCGTAACACTGCTTTTGCTTGAAAGCATGTGGGCGAGTCAAATCTCGTGCATGCTAATCAACCCGAAAATCCGATTTAACATGGCCATCGTCAAATGTTGATGAAGATCGAGCTTTTTTTTCGAAAGCAGACAGGCTTTCAGTTTAAGTTCTGCACGTGCGTTTCCCATGTGAATTGGGTGAAGTTGCAGTCTGCGACGGATTCCCTCCGATTATGGCCCTTTGCTGAAGGTGACAAGTACGCCTACAGTCATAGAAGGTTGACCCGTCGTCTCCTACATACCTCATATGAGTAAGATGTCCACTAACTTACCTCATTCTATCTTAGTGAGACATTTCCTTCTCTCTTCTTTGGTTACCACAGATCTCTTCCTACAAGTTGTAGCTCAAGTTCGTTTGCTTTCTTTCGAACTGTCGAAGCCTGGTAGGTGCTACGGTGCTAAACTTACGAAAAAAGGTTATATATCGAGCATGTAGTACTAGCAGAGAATATTCAGAGTAATAGCAACCTGAGGTTAAAGGATTCGGGCACGGAAACTGTTATATACTATCCTATTCTACATTGATCAGTAGCTTTAGACCAATCCCTCGCGATAAAGGAAAAAAACTACGTTTCATTCGAAAATCCGAAAATCGAGAAAATTATCATATAACTTGATCGAATTCCCGCCGCATAACTGTCACAAATGTTGGTGCACGCTTCCACTTGTTTCTTGGGCTACAGTCACAAGAGAATCTCCGGTCTCTTCATCTATGGCAGGAACAATTCACTCTTTTATTGCATTCTAATCCATCACGATAGAACGTTTTTCTCCCGACTCCGCCCTCGAAAGCTTGTACCCTGTTTTGGCACGTTTCCTGATACAACCCGTCTCACCAGTTATTTCGTTCCGTGCGCCCCTCGGCTCAGATCAGCCGTTTACAAGGTATCGTTGTCAAAGGACTGTTTTTCACGGAAACTAAATTTTCATGCATCGAATTTCGTAAGGCGAACTATGATCTCCATGACGCATTTATGTTAGAAAAGAGGAACATATCTATGTTTGTGTACGATTCCTTTGAAGGACGAATTAACGCTGGAAAGGCAACCCATTTCAAATTAACTTAGCGATGGTGAGTGGTACACTAAAGAAGGAAAAACCATGAGAAACGGCCCAGAACCCGAGGAATGGGACCCCTTCCTTGCCTGCTGATTTGAGCATTGATGCGACTATCATCGCTGTGCTCTCTTCAACACTACGCTCGCACCAAACTAGTCACTCACCACGTATAGACCTGCGGCGAGTGATCAGATGGTTAGTGAGCGTGCACTGGCCCACCGCGCCAAGATTGAGCATTCGCTGAGGACAACTCCTTCGGTGGCAATTGCGCTTCAGTCCTCACCCTTAGGAGGTCCGCGGGTCCCTCAACTAGGTGAAATACTCCTTCTTCGACCTTCATTCTAATCGTGAATTCGTCCTTTAAAGTGGACCTTGTGCATAACGAAATATAAAAAGAGAATCATGCGCTC